TTCTTTTTCATAAAAAAGGTTTGTGTGAGTTATAGCTTCTATCCAAAAGGCTTGTTAATTATATGTGGGAGTGGGACAGTAAAATAAGAAAGCAATCAAAACACAGAGCGAGGGATTGGGGGAGTTAAGGGAGTTGAATCCGGCGCAGCGTTGGCGTAATGGCAACATTCAAGGCATCACATGCGGCCCTCGCTTTTCGTGTGGTCTGCTACTTTGCACGCTTTGGTTCAATCCTCGCACAGTTTCTTGTCAGCTACTACCACTGCACTTCTATCGCTTTATAAGCTTGGGAGCCCCTCTAGGGAGTAGAGACCCCACACTAGTCAATTCTGAGTCCGTTAATATCTTATAATTTCTTTTCTAATCTCGAGACATTATATTTGAAATGGGAAGAAATGTTAATATTACTTTTCGTATTTACTATTTGACAGACTTCATCATCTCATTTTTAAGGGCCCGTTTAGTTCGCTGAATCGAGTTTTTAATTCGAATTAAGATGTGATGTTATGTGAGAGTTTTTTATTATAGTAAAAAAGTTAGATGTAACTGTTTCTGAGAGCTTTTTACTGTAGTAAAACTCGAATTCTAAATTCGAATCGGCGAAGTGAACGGGGTCTTATTGTATCCCCGATTTCTTATACTTTTTCAGATTTACATCCTAACTTTAAAAATGCTATTTTCTTTTATGGAAGTGCGGAGTTGCTACTTGTTCTAAGCTTATTTACAACATGTAAAGGTTTATAAATGCTTTTTACTCCAAACAAATTGGTTATGATATCAAAATTAAATATATTTTCATTAGAGTAGTCACTCCAAATGTAACGCCCTTAAGAATTAAACATGTTTAATTATACTAATTATAATTTATTAGTATACTTAATTTAATTTTCTTAATTAATCAAAAACTTTTAAACTTACTTTTAGTATTTATAATTTTACTCCGAAAGTATGTGAAAATACATACTTCCACCCCTTCTCTTTTAATTACCTTTTAGTAATACCTATTTCCTTATTTTCTTTTTCTTTTCTTGCTTTCCTTATTTCCCTTCCACCCTCTCTCTCTCTCTCTCTCTCTCTCTCTCTCTCTCTCATCTCTCTCTCTTCCTCTCAAGTTTTCTCCCTCTTCAAGCGGATTTTGAGCCGGATTTAACAAAAACGGAGATTTCCAAAAAGTTTTCAACCCTAAAGCAAGGATCAAGGTAAATATTTGAAAACCACGCTTGATCTTCGACTTTCTCTTGGTGATCTGGTTATTGATTTAGATTTTGATGAGTTTTGATTTAGTTTTGGTTTGAATGGATTTTTGAATGGGTTTTGATGAAACCTTGATGAAATTTAGGGGTTTTTTGATTCTTTGAACCTCATTTGTTGATTGGAACCTAGTTTTACAAATTTCTCTTGAGAATATGTTGAAATCGAAGCCGAAATTGCAGGATTTGGCTTCATTTTCCACGAATCGGCCATTTTTGGCCCTGGCATTTCTCCCCACCGGTCGACCGGTCATCCCTCCACCGGTGGAGTTACACTCCTCTGTTACCGGTCAACCGGTTCACACTAAGTCCAACCCTAAGTAGTTTAAAAACCCTGTTTTGACCCCAAAACTCGATGTAGAACCAACCTAACTTCATTTGGGAACTCAAAGTGAGTGGATTAGCCACATTGATTCTTGTTCCCATTCGATTTGCTGGAATGAATCCCAATTCCCAAAGAATCATGATTTGAATTAAGAATTGTTCATAAACTTTGATTTTTAAGTTAAGGCACACTAATATGATACAATTGTATATTATTAAACAAGAATGTTTAGTGGAAAGGATTAAACTCTAAACCGTTAATTTTGATGACGAAGCTAGTGGCACGATTGGATTTGGAGCTCCAAAGACAAGTGGAGCTAGGGCTACGTGAAGATAGCCACAGGTTTGATATCCGAGAGGTAGGATATTCTTATCCATATCCTTGATAGCCATGATTTCAATGATTTTGGCCTATGAAAATGTTTTAAAACAAAACATCTTTAAAGAAAAATGATCTTAGAAGAAATAGCATGAATAATGCTATTAAGTTTCCAATAATTTGGAAATGAGATTTTAAAGAGTTTTCTTTCTTAAAATGAGATATTTTAAAAAATGATAAAACTCATGATGGCCACAGAGATCGGGATATGAGAATCGTATCCTTGGGGACAGGTTCCGAAACCCGTACGGGCCACTTCTTGCTCAGTGGTGATATTATGGCTTTGCATATTGTCATTATTTAGATATTTTGCTTCTATTATGTGATTACTTCCTTTCTTTAAAGGATAATTGGTTCCAGATGATATGTTCGAGCTGTGAGCACTTTCATTTATAAAGTTTAATAAAGTTATATCCTATTGGGCCTTCTACTTACTATTCTTGTTTCAAATGTATTTAACCCCACCAAGCGACGCGAGAAGTAGTGCTGAATAGGTAGCTACTACCGGTGAGGTGAGCCCGACTCCTAGAAGTGGAGATTTGTATTTTCCTTTCTTTTCCTTCCTATTTACCTTAAGGCATGTATTAAATAATGGATTGTAAACTCAAATATTGTTAGACTGTGGTTGATGTCAACATTTACTTTCTTGTTTATGTTCATGTATGCTAAACCTGTGGGGATTCCTGATATGATACCATGGGCAAGGTTTTGAACTGGTTTTGTTAGAATTTCCACCACTTTTCTTGAAACTTAATTTCTTATAAATAGTGGGGTTTGTTTGGTTTTAGATTTGAAATCAAATTTTGAATTGTTAATTGTTAATCACTTTCTTAAGCAAGTTTAAATTTCTAAATAAGCCTCCACATCACTAGCCCCTGCTTGAGAGCGTGACACAAAAGCAAGAAAAGATAAGGGAAAAAAATGGAGAAAGAAACCGTATTCAATTAGGTTATGTACTTAAGGATTTAAAGAATTGACAAATTTAATCTTTCTGGTGTGTGTCACGCGTGCTTGTATGTCTAAACTTAAAATCCGATGTTAATTTGGAGACAATTAATACATTTGATATGATACAAAAATGTTTAAAAATTTTCATTTACATCTTTATTTTTTACTTTTAACTCTACACTATTACTTCATTTTTATTCTTGTATCCATTTTTTTTACTTTAAAAACTTAAATAAATAAAAATTGCAATAAAATATAATGTATAAAAAAGTATAAACATTATTAATTTTAGTTTTAAAATTTGAGTCAATTCAAGCTTCTCTAAAAAAAATTTTCTAACTTCGTCACTAACAACAAGTACGTTTAAAGTTCAGAGGGATTGATACAAGTTATATAGCTGAGGAACTCTTAAAATTTATTCATAAAAAAAAAAAAAATAGATATTTACATCGGGTACCTAATAGTAGTGCTCATGGAGCCATAATTGATCATTGTGGATTTAAATCAAACGGTGTATTTTTTATGAGACAAGATTCAATAAGAAGATTTTTTTAGCGTAATATTCACTTTATAAGTTTCATTTAATTTAAATCGTACAGTTAAACTCAATCAGCATGACGTAATTATATTTAAATAGTAAGAGTGCGTTTTGTTGCAGTGACGGAATAATAATAAGAATGGTAATAAAAATAGTAATAGAATTGAATTGAAATGTGCTAGAATCATAAATTAATTCTTTTGTTTGATTGGAGTTATGGAATCAATACCTAAATGAGGATTATGTTGTTTGGTTGACAATGGAATAGAATGAAAATAAACTGTATTTTGACAAAAATACCCTTGATTAATAATTCCAAATAATTTAATATTTTAATTAATTAAAATAATAATAAAAATAATTTATTTATTGAAAAAAAACTTTTTATTTGAAGGATAATAATTTAAAAACTATATTTCAATTGTAAAAAAAAATAATATTTGATATTTTTATGTAATAATATAATATGACAAGCTCAAATATGATAACTTTTGACATCTACCATGATATGTTCCTTAAAAAAATAACTTTAGCCCCTGTCAATAATATAGTCATATGCCAAGTGAAGCAAGTTCCTAGTTAATACAATTTAACAAAGTGAAGCATAATTCTAATTAGTTATTGACGGACATGGTTATTGACGAACAAAGAGTTTAAAAAACCATAGCAAAGCATTCAACTAAACATTCAACTAATTATTGACGGAATAACGGGTGATGTAATATTCTGTTTTTTTATCAATTTCAATTCCCCAGGACAATTTGATCATGTTACACTCTGTGTGTGTCTGTTCATACAATTCAATCACTTTACGCTCTGCGTGTGTCTGTTCATACAATTCAATTATTCTTTAAAAAGAAAAAAAATCCTCATTTCAATGTTATTTATATGAACGACAAACGTTTGTTTTGCGAAACAAAGATGATTGTGTCTTTTAGACGGAAAAAATGTAGATGAACATGCTTATAAAAAAAAACAAGTAGATGAACAACAGGTTGTGAAATAATCTCTTTAATCGAAACATTTCACATATTCAGAAACAAAAGAAAAAACCAATAGCAAAATTCTTTAAATATTTATTCGGAGGTTGTTTTTGTACCATATGCAATGAAATTTACACTGATGTCATCAGAAAGAGACCATCTTCCTGTCTTCAGAAGATCAAGACCAGTTCTTCAGAAGTTAGAAAACTTGACCACTGATGCGTACCTTTGGGAAGCTGTAAAATTAAACTCCATGTTAATATAGATACAAATTTCATATGAATTCTTCGTGTGCTTTTTTTCTTTTTCACCCATCAAGTCTGTCTTTGATTTCTATCATAAACACTTGAGCACAATTGCACAACTCTTCATGGATGGTGAATGTCATGTGAAGAGAATCAATGGCATGCTAAATGGTAAGAAGCAACGGATAATGAGCTGTAATAGAGAGAGATTGAATACCCAATGGAGTATATACTCGGCAGCGACGATGGCGGTAGCATAAGCTCTCATAGATCGGTTAATGGTTGAAATCACAGTAGCTCCATTAGCAAGTAAATCATAATCTCAATGAACCTGGGAAGGAGAACACACCTCTAAAGAAATCACAGCATCAAAATTTCTCTGCTCTTCAACCAGCTTTTCTGTTCATAATAACAAAGAATAAGCTTCTGTAATTATGATAAAATTCACACACGCACGCACACACAAGGACTTGAACATATAAAATTCAGAAGAAACAGAGCTACAAGACTCAAACTTCCTTACCAATAATTACAAGGCCAACTTAACTACGATTTGTGAAACATAAAGACAAGCACAGCATATATAAATACATATATAAATATATATTTACGTATATACATATATATTTATATATATATAAAGTGAAATACAACATTTCGTTATTATTTCCTAAAAATATACCTCTGAAAGAATTCCACCACCACAACCAACGTCAACAAATTTCAGTCCTTCGAAAGGCCTAGGAGAACATGGATCCCTCCTGAAGCAATGAATCGAATATCACAAAAAGAAACCAAATTTCCAGTGCACGAACTCATCTTCATTAAAAAACAAAAAACAATTCTATACCCGAAATGCCGGCAAAGCATGGAGCGAATGAAAGCGAGTCTCGTAGGATTCATGGCATGCAATGGTCTAAACGGGCCCTCAGAATCCCACCTAATTATACCACGAAAATACAAATACAAAAAAATGTGAATTTTTAAGAATCTTCTCAATAGTTCATTGAAATTCCAATTTCCAAATCAAACAGAGAACAGCGAGCTCACCAGGTTTCGGCAATGACGAAGAACTTAGCTAGCTCTTTTTGATTCAACGACGACGGAGCCGAAGTGTTTGGACCAGAAGGCGGAGGAACCGGAGTCGACGGAGAAAAAGAAACTTGAGGAGGAGATGGGGCGTCCGAGAAGAGTCTGCCATTGGAACCGAGAAGGAGGTCTCGGAAAGCTTCCTTAGGGTTCGGGAATCGAGGAGAGAGAAGTCGGTGACAGGTGGTGGATGCGTAGAGAGCTCGGAGTTGGTTCGGGAGCTTCGAAGCCATGGCGTCGATGGTCAATGGCTGGAGCTCGGTGGCCGAGCAAGAAATGGGGGCTAGGGCATCAGGGAGTTTTTGGAGAAAATGTAAATCAGGGCTGAAGCAATTCCACAACCCCCCACGGTGAATGGCAATTCACTCAAAATGAGTGAATGGATTTTTAACCCAAAAATTGAAACCAAACAATGGAATTAGGTGGAATGGTTTTTCTTTCCATTCCATTCCTCTCGACCAAACACAGCCTAAGATCTTATGTTTTATGGCCTTTAGTCACTGAGTTACCCTACTGTAGAATTCTTTTATTAAGAGAATAAGTTAGCACATCAAGTTAAAAATAATGATTAAGAAGGGGAAAATGTTTTCCTTTTTAATCTTCTACCGAAAGCCAATGCTACCCTCATGGATCTTGTAGAAATACCAAAACCACTATATAACAAAACATTCTTTATAAGTTTTAATCAAAGCCTAAAATTAAAATTTTCTTTTTAGGATCTAATACGTCTTTCCAACAAAAATAAATCCAACACGGGTGGGTGTATTTTAACTAAAACTTCAGTACAATAAGCCAATTTTAAAAAGGTTTTGCAACTAAATAAATAAACCTATCAGAAAATTTACAAACATCAAATCCTAAATAAAACAAGCTAAACCTTGGATTAAAAAGTAAAAACGAGGAAAATATCTTCCAAAGAAGTCTAAAATATAAACTATAAGCTAAGGCATTTATTTATCTTGAAGGAAATTCAATACATATCTTATTTTTTCAAACACTTCGATAATAACAATTATGATTTATGAAGACTAAAATATAGAAATTATAAGCGGAGGAGTTTATTTATCTGGAAGGAAATTCAACACCTATGTTATTTTTTCAAACACTTTGATATTAACAATTTTTATGAAATAATATAAAGAAAAGTACTTTTGATATTATTTGTCAAAAAAAAAAAATAGTTTTGATATTAACATGACTCCAAACCAGCAATACTTCACGTAGCTGGCCAGCCGAACCGTTTTATTTATGGGAAAAACATATTTGTGGACCCCAAAATGCGAAAAGCCAAGCTGGCAATTAATCCACAACTCACGAGAACCAGTGGTCCACAATTTTACCACGTGGATCTAACCGATAACCGATACGACAGTGATGAGGGTATAACGGATATTTCAACCTCCACAAAAGTTTATAACGGTTACCGCGGCGTGTAGTGCGCCCACTGAACTTCGTGCTAAGTGGATAGAGGGCCCCACCCATATCTGCTGTCCTGGGAATTGGCTAGTGCTGAAACTTTGAACGGGCCGCCCGCGACCGTCTGAAAAGTCTGAGGATTTGCCCGAACCCGAACCCGATCCGTCCGAGATTTTGGGGCCGCCTGCCCGAGCCCGAATTTCACCTTGAACGGGTCGCGGACTTGTATTCAGCGGCCCGAGCCCGGTCGGGCTGCCCGAGCCCGCCCGAATTACCCGAATTTTTTAAACTTTTTTTTAATATTAAGTTATTTATATATATATTAGTATTACAATTTATATATATATTACATTTGAAATGAACACACGAACTATATAAAAAAATTATTTCTTTATTAATTTTTAAAGAAAAATCCAATTGGGATAAAAACTTGACAAGGAAAAAAAAGTGTAATTATTTTGTGACGAATTACAAATTGTACAAACTTACATTGTTTATTAAATTACAAATACAATGTAAAAAGTAAATACATATTTACAAATTACAAATTTACAATTTAATTTGAAGCTGAGGGATCGTCTTCAAAATTAAATGTTAATCGATTAAATTCATCGATCCATTCTTGGCTTGCCGGTGAAATTGTATCTTGTAGACGTTGATCGGCCCGATCCCAATCCTTAATGCAAACCAAGGCTTCAACAATATCCCTTTGCAATGCATTCCGGCGTTCCTCAAGTATTCTTCCTGTCGTACTGAAAGCTTGTTCGGATGAAATAGTGGAGACTGGGATCGAAAATATATCCATTGCCAATCGAGTTAAGATTTGTCAAGTTAATGCCCGTGCCCTCCACCATTGAACTAAGTCAAACGATTCTGCCGCACTGCCGACTACTAAGCCTTCACTGAGGTACGCCATAAGCTCGTTGAAGCTGCTGCCGCCACTGCCACTTGTTGATGAAGATCCACTTCCACTCACAGCTTCCGTTTGAGTTGTCTTCTTCTTCTTCTTCTTTAACCCGAAAACATTCAAGAATGAATGCGGGTTTTCATCCTGTTGTTGTGGTTCCTGTACTCTAGAGTTTGTGTTTCTAAACCTAATCTCATATTTACTATAGATCTCATATATTTTTGCCTTTATTATTGAAAATTGGTCCGTACAAGTGATGCCTAAAAATTCACCTAAGTTTTCTAAACCACTTTCTAATCCGTCTAATTTTAATCTAGGATAAAAAATTGTACCTAAACCATATAACAAATGCAACTTAGACCAATATTTTTAAAATTTTTTTTCCATAGAATGAATATGAACTCCTAAGATTGGGTCCTCCCTATATTCGTGAAATAAAATACTAATTCTTAAAAGTTCTCCTAAAGCTAAAGGTGATGTTGGGTAGTATGTTCCACTAAGTTTTAGAGTAACTTCATGAAACCTACCTAAAAATTGATACAAAACTTCGGCAATTTGCCAATCAAATTCATCTATATGTCCTACTCCTAATTTTGCACACATATAGTTTGTTATAGCATTCTTATAAGGGATGCATTGTTGAAGCATAATATAAGTTGAGTTCCATCTTATAGGCATATCTAACGCTAATGCTCTAGGAGGTATATTTAATGCTTGTAAGAACCTAAACCAATCTTCTTGTCTTTGGTTACTACCTTGAATCCATGCAAGACTATCTCTAATTCTTTTAATGTGATTACTCATTTCTTTTAAATCGGATTTAACTATTAAATTGATTACATGACATGCACAACGTTGGTGGAAAATAGTACCGTCACCGAATAGACTTAAATCATTTTCAAAGAATTCAATTGCTTTTGTATTGGCACTAGCATTATCTAATGTTATAGCCATTACTTTATCTCTTAAACTAAATTCATCAATTACATTTAAAATTGTGTTATATATTAAATCTGCGCTATGTGATCCTAGAACACATTTAAAACCTAATATTCTCTTATCTAAATCAAATCCTTTAAAGTAATGTCCGGTTACAGCTAAATAATCTTTATTGGCAATGGCAGACCAAATATCTGCCGTTAACGCAACGCACCCGCTAGTCGAGTGTAAAAGGTTTATTAATGCATCTTTTTCTTTTTTAAATAATTTTAATAAATCTTTTCTAAGAGTAGTTTTTGAAGTGAACTGTGCATTAGGATTGTGTACAACCTTAATATATCGTTGCCAATTAGGATGCTCTACAAACTAAGTGGTTGATCTAAAGCAGCTATCATTCGCGCAACTTCCATACGATCTTCTTGCGGATCGTATTTCCAAGTGGTTAGACCACCGGTTGCGCGATCAAAAGATAATTGTGTTTGGCGGAGTTCGGGTCCGCTAGATTGGCTAAGCTTTTGAAGACACTTTTCAGAGTGTCGTCTCAAGTGTGTGGTGCCGTGAATAGTGTCGCCTTGTAATTTAGATAAACAATATTTACACTGAGCTATATGTTTAGTGTTACCTTCATTATCCACCTCGTCAATTATGTCGAAGTGATCCCAAACTGTCGAGGTACGCTTACATTTTCTCCTGGAGGTTGCAACACTTGCCGACGCAGACGCAGACGCAGTCGCACTCGCTGCCGTTTCTCCACGCCCACTATTGTGACCACGACCTCCAGTACGTCCACCATGGCTTGGATTAGTAGATTGCATTTGTTGCGTAACAAACTCATTAGTGGGAAATTGCCCTTCTTCTACATTTTGTTGGGCATCAACGAGAATACCACTATAACCAAAAGGATCCATTATAAAAAAATAAGATGAATTTGATAGACACTAGAGAGAGAGCTTTAGAAAAATTGTGAGAGAGATTGAGAGAGATTGAGAGAACTTGAAAGAGATTGAGAGGGATTGAGAGAGTTTGAGTGAGAAAAATGTGTGAGGGATGGGGGGTATTTATAGGGAAATTTTGGGGTTAAAAAATGATTTTTTTTTCAAAAAAAAGGGATAAAACGGCTAGTTTTTTGAAATTCGGGTTCGGGCAGTCGGGCAAACTCGGGCAGCTCGGGTTTTCGGGCAAATTTCAGGCAAAATTAAAAAAACTAGTCGTTTTCGGGCAAATCAGGCAATTCGGGTAGTTCGGGCAGTTCGGGCAACTCGGGCAACTCGGGTTTTCGGGCTGAATTCGGGTAAAAATTCAAAAAACTAGCCGTTTTTTGGTATTCGGGTAATTCGGGCACCTCGGCGGGTCGGGCAAGTCGGGCATGCGGGAAAAATTCGGGCAAAATTCAAAAAATTCAAAAATTCGGGCTTCGGGTCGGGCAATTCGGGCACACCCAATTTTCGGGTCGGGCAGTTCGGGCTTGGTCGGAAAAATGCAAAAAAATCCCAGCGGGTGGCGGTATACGGTGGTTAGACGGCAGCGGGCAAGGGGGGACATGTCAAATTCGGGCTGGCCGAGCCCGACCCCGAATTTCTTGCTTGGACGGGCGGGAATTGGGCCGGCCCGCCCGAGCCCGAAAAAATTCGGGCTTTGGGCGGCCCGCCGACCCGAAGTTCCAGCACTAGAATTGCCCCTAGAAGAGCTCGTGGGCTGACCCGGCTGATCCGGCAATCTTCGCCTCGTTTACGTTTATTTTTTATATTCGTCTCTAATTTTGAATCATGATTCATAATTTTTTATAATATTTTTTCTCATAAAAATATATATAAAACGAAAATAATTCTAAATACATAAATTAAACGTCTTATCCTGATACACTACCGGGATTACTATCCCTTTTTTTAAAAAAAATTTATTACGCTTTACACCCTTATATTGTATTTTATCAAAATAACAGAAATATCTCCTTATTAAAATTAATAGCATCAACATCCCGACTTAGAAAAAAATAACAAAAACACTCCTCCGTTAGTTGACTATGAATGTTAACTAAAGTTGGACCGTTAAATTCTTTTTTAAGTACTAAAAATGTCCACCCCATTCATAAAAAAACGTTTTTAGCTAATATAGAAGTGTTTAAAATGACATTTTCACCGTATTTT